AAAGTACAAACCACTGAACAGTTGGTCTGTGCCAGTTACAGAGGTGGTGGTTACAATGTAAAGTTAATTACAGTGCCCAGTGATTTGATAACAGTACAATGGAGCTGTGACAGTGCCAGCAAAGCAAATTGGGGTAAGCAATTAAGCAGACGATGAAATCCCATGTGTTTAGATAAAGTATGTGCTTAGAAGGCTGAGGTACAGTGACTTCCCTAATGTCTCATAGAGATTAAACGAAAGCCCAACATCCAAAATTCATTTTGAAAATATTAATTAAAGCTGAAGTAATTAAAAATGTTCAAAACAATTTGTCACTTGTATTGTTTCCAACAATTAAAATTTCAAGTCTCTAGTTAAGTGCTAATTTGCTTTGGAACAATGGCCGGAATTATATGGAGTATTATGGAACACTTTATCTTACAACGGGAATGTATACTGTACCTAACATACTGTTTACTCTTTATAGGTGGTTATTTTTGTGTTATTTCAGAGAAACCAACTAATGTAAAGAGTATGTTTTTATTCACATAATAGCCATATTGAGAGGCTGGGGATTGGAGGAGAGGATAAATTAGCCATTAAGGTCCAAATACAGTATAACAGGGGTTTTCTACTGATTGTGACTCAGGGACCACCACTGTGACTAAGAAGCAACATGAGAACCACTGCTGTGTGGTGGACAGACCGGATTTAATCCTGAAAGTCACCTTGGCTTTTATATATTGTATATATTTGCAGGAATTTGATTATTAATAATAAATAATAGTAAGTAAAGTTTATTTATATAGTGTCTTTCTAGATCAATAGTCACAAAGTGCTACACAAAAAAATTAAAAAGAAAGAAAGAAAAAAAGAGGAAAACGTGTTTTTAAATAAAAAGTATTGATGAATGATTATTGAATGCACAGTCAGGGACCACCTGCAGTGGCCCACTAGTGGGCCACGGACCACTGGCTGAAAACCCCCGCTGTTTAAAGATGCAAAGGATCAAGAGGGAAACCCTAATAATTCATGTCTATACATTTATAGCGTACAGTATGTACATATTAAAAAAAAAACAATAAGACAATGTTGTACTTCAGTACAGTAACAATAGTGCAAAACCAGAAAGCCTGAGCATGTTCTTACATGGTTACAAACCCAGGTACAGCACAAAATTCATTTATTTGAAATAAATGGGTTCCTTTCTGTAACTACAAATAATAAATTAGAAATCATTACAAAAGAATAATTTGGCATTTTTAAATGTCAGCACTTTCCCACAGGTCGGTTCAACCTTGTTGAGATGTTGCAAGTTAGTAAAAGATTTTGACATTTTACTCTCATTTAAGAGCCACACGCTTTGAATTGATGTGTACACTAAAAGAGGCAGAGGCACACTCAGCACGCATATCCAAGTGTGCCCCCAAGCTTTTGTGCTCCAAAACCCTCTGCTTTATGACTTAACCTTTAAAAGGGCGTATTTGCGACTTGGCTACAGGTAAATCCACATTGCCTTAATAACACAAATACTTCTGCCAGGATAAGCAATTTCTCAAGCTTTTTGGAATGTGCTCGAAATTATTCCAAGTCATGTTTTTGCTGCTCAAGCTGAGATTTTTTTGTCAGTGTGAAGGAGATCTGTGTAGCATGGGAGTATGCCCTGAGCAGAGCTTTGATTTAAACATTATCACACAGGCTGACAAGTCTTCACTCAAGTCTTTATCTACCTCTCAGGTGGATGCGACTGAAGCAAAGACAGCTGCACAAATTGCCATACCTTAGACAATTTCAAAATATTAGAAAAACAGAAACAACTTGCAGCAAAAGCTCAGGCTGTGGTGCGCAATGCATTAACCTGAAGTCTGAAGCAAGAAACAGACACACAACAGCTGAGGAATATGAGTTCCTGTGCAGTCTGACATATACTTAGACACAGATCAACCTATTATACAATGGAAAATATACAGTACATTGTTTAAATATATTTTTATAGTTTCACTTTAGCATTTGATCTTTGACATGGTACAAGTTATCCAACAATCTGCCTGTCACTAAAATATATTTTGTGGTTCATCAGCTAATTTGTTACACTGCCTTGTTGAACTCTAATTACAAGTATACCTTGCTGAGTGACTGCAGGAACGTACAGCTTGTAAGATAGTGGGCCAAATGTTGTGTTGCTCATGATGCCCACTTCAATGGTTTAAAAAAAATCATGTTTTCATTTCACTGTATTGTTTTGCTTCTTGGTTTTCTGTAGTTTTGTTTCTCCTTTAGTCTGGTTACTTCAGCACAGCCCACATGTTTGCTTCATGAGCACAGACATCTGAGCCATTGTTTGCAAAACCTCATTATGATCTTTCAATGAGATTTTCTTCAAGTGATTGAGTAAACAAGGAGCATTGTAATTCACTCTGCTGCTCACACTTCTTTAAACACTAGGACTGCAAGCAAGCGGCTGATTGACGGCTTTCGGCCACAAGTTGGAAACCCGTTTTTACATCACTTTGCATAAAAGGTTTGAATGTTGGAGTGTTTTTGTTGCCAGACTCCACAAATCTCCATTACTTCCGCTGCAGTTATTCAAGAGCGACTGTTTGCTACCATGATGGCGACAAGGAAAACATGAGGATGTTTTGTCAACTGTCACCGGAGGCATATGATTTACTTCTGCACTCTCACAGAACTGAAACTTTACAGTGGTAGAAAGAGATCTTATCCAGGTTCTCCAGCATTGTTCTCTGGAACATTGGACAGTACTAATGGCCTTTCACAACAAAAGTAATATTAACATATGTGAAAGACCAGTTGTCCTCCTTCACCTGTCTGTGGCAATAACTGAAATACTGCTGCTACTTCTACTGCAGGACAAAGTAGATGAGTTTTTAATCTATGTTATCATGGCCAAGGTAGCTCCCTTGGTTTTAGGTAGAGTGGGAGTTACAACAAGCTGGCAAGGACCCAGGATTAACACTCTGGTCAATGGTTCTTCCTTCCCACCAATGCAAGATGGCAGCATGGTGTAAAAGTGTAGGTGGTGGTTATTAATACTGTTCAAGCTATGTCACTGGGCTAATTTGTTCTGTCTTAGAGCACATCATACAAAGAGATTGTAGCTTGTGAGGTACAGTGGGTAATCTACTAATGACAAGTATCCTTGTGCATAACACCTCCTTCTCCACTTTCGGCTGGTCCTGTTAGCGGTAGCCACAGCGAATCATTTGTTTTCCACACTGACAATTTGCATGGTTCAATATTTGGCACGTTTTTACACCGGATGCCCTTCCTGATGCAACCCTCTCTATGTATCTGGGCTTGGGACCGGCACAGAAGTCACTGGCGTGAAACCCCTGTGACTAGAGGTTATCCTTGTGCATAACATAAAACTCCAAATTTCTCCCTGTGGTCAGAGGAGCATTTTGCATGGTAGCTTTCTACCATAAGTGTGTATGTGTGTGTACAAAATGGGTGAATGAAAAGAAAATTGTACATGTCACATCACATTTCAGGCATTTAACATGCCAGGGCTAATGTGACAGGCCAATAGCGGACAAGACACATCCTGAAAATCTGAGTCTGGTTTAGAGTTATAATTATAATTCAAATCATAATTTGTTTACCTCTAGGATAAATACCCTCTGTATTTTGTGGATCTTTTGATGCCTTATCACAATCTACTCTTGGGAGTGTTGTGGATGTGCACAGGCTCTACCAAAAAGGTCCATTTTCCCCCTCAGCCTGAGTTTCTAGTTGCTGGAAAAAGAAGACATGCAAAGCTGGCAGTGATTGTGATGTTTCAGGCTGGACAATCTTCCCCTTGCTTGAGATGACTTGGCTGATGTAGCTAACACCCCAACGCACACTGTCACAGGGAAAAAACATGACATTCACGGCACCCATCTTTGGGCAGGAAGGAGCTAGTGTGATAGTCTAGGATTGTCCCCTGTAGTGGTTGCAGTGCATTGTTTTGGAAACAGAACTCACCATTGAAAGTGCATAATACTGTATGGAGGCCACAAGGACTTAATCAATTTAGATGAAGGACCTCATTCAATAAAGAATTGTGAATGTGAAAACACCCGCTGACCCAGTATTGACTATTTCTTGATAGCACCACACATAGCAACAGAACTAAATGTGCTTCATGTGATTTCAGAGAGAACTCTGCATAAACCTTTGGCAACTAAAGCCACAAAAATACATCTGTGCATAAGCATTTGCAAGAAAAGTAGATCTGGAAATGCAGGCACAACTTTGGATGAGATGTCACAGGTGAAGGTGAATCTATTCTACACCACAACTTCAGCTGTCATCCATTATGGTACAAGAGGCACAACTAGCCACATTAAAAAAGATACTTTCCAACTAAACTGTTTGCTTTTTGCTTATGGGTTTGGTCATTCACTGGCACTGAGTCTGCATGAAAAGTCCTTGGAACTAAAGGCCCTACATTTCTTAACAGTATTAGTGATACAATTTATTTATATCCATGGAATAAGCCTGAGAGATATAGAACGAAGAACCAAAAGACATCCACTAATGCCTGGAATGTTATCTGAGGTAACATGAACACACAAGTCTGAGCTGTGAACATCACCATTATCAAAACCTCGAGTGACAGCAAACCCTATTTTGGGATTGTGGGGGCATAAAACCTGTGAGAAGATGGATTTAAATCCATCTGCTCCTCTAAAAAGCCCAGGTGCGGTATCTATTTATTTATTATTATTAGCTTTTTCAGGTGCATTCTGTATCTGTGAAAACTGAAAACAGCTGACCTTACACATATGACACATCCACACAACTGAGTCCACACTTACCCTGTTTTGAAACCATTGCATACACTACCAAACGCTGCTAATTATCACAGCTGAAAAGCAGTTTTATATGCAGAGTTATAAATATTATGCCCTTTCTATGTAGTTATTCTAAAGGAGGACTGACTAAGTTCTGGTCTTTTCAAGAACATAGGTTATATGGCCGGAGGTGT